GACAGATGAATACATTGGTTGATGAAAAACAATTCATGATCATCACTATCACTAAAAAAAAAAAAAAAAATAGAATTAAATTGACCAAGATGATGGCACAGAGTTAAGCTTTCAAAGAAATGAGGTGAGAAAAGATCTAACCAACAGTCTACACAGACAAGAATGCCTACTGCTGCTTTGGGGGCTGTTATGAATTGTGTCCTTCCCAAAATTCATTATGTCAAAGTCTTCAATTCCAGTATGGCGATACCTGGAGATAGGGCCTCTAACCAGGTGAAGTTAAACGCAGCCAATTGCATGGTCTCTGATGCACTGGGCTGCTGACCTTTTTAGAGGGGGAAAACCCAGCCCTCAGGGAAAAGGCCAGGGGAGGACACAGTGAGAAGGAAGCCATCTGTGAACTGAAGTGAGAGGCCTTGGGAGAAAATAACCATTCCAGGGCTTTGATCTTGGGTCCTAGTTTACAGAGTTGATGTATACCTAAGACCAGGAGTGTTTATGTGTACATATTGCTACATGTGGTTATAGTTTATTTTCACTACGCCTTAGGAGAGAATCTTTCATTACAGCAGGACACCACAATTTATCCAGTTTATTTATTTATTTATTTTTAGTGAGTGGATTTTTTTTTTTAAAGACTTATTTTTTATTTATTTTTGCACACAAGATCTAGGGTACAGGCCAGAGGTGGCGGAGGTGAGAGGATTCACCAGAGCCAGAGTAAGGGGCAGAAAGGCAGATCTACGGAAATATACTGCTACAGGGAGCAGCAGACAGGACAGGAGAGGTCTGCTGCCACATGTGGGTCAGCCCCCTGGCCGGGGATCGAACTTGAGCTGCAGTGGCTGCAGACAGCTTCACTGTGCTGCACTTTAACCTACTGCACCACCAGGGAGGGGCGCTTCTGATTTCTTCTGCAAGTTTCAGCTCATATTTAGGTCTACGTGTGGGGTGACGGTTCAGTTTCATTCTGTGTTTTGTGTGTTTGATTTTGAAGGTATCATTTGATAAAAGACTGTTTCCCATTGGAGTGTCTTGGCATTTTTGTGGAAGTTCACATAACTGACCTTCTGTGGTTTACTTCTGGATTCTCTGTTCTGGTTCACCTGAACCATTTGCCTACCTTTATACTAATGCTCACTCTCTGGATTACTGTCGCTTTATAGTAATAGGTTTTAAGATCAGGTAATGTGCATATACATGTTAGAATTACCTTACCAGGGAAAGCAAGCAGGATCGGTGAAAAAAAAATTAGCTTGTCAATTTTTGCAAAAATGTTGGATGCATTTTTGGATTGCATTCAGTCTGCGTACTGATACGATGTTTATACTGGCTGAAGGGGAAGGAAGCCCCACTGCCAGCCAGGTCTCTGTGAGGTCTCCCAGAAAGGGCAAGAAAATAGACTCCATGAAGCCTCAGAAAGGAGAGGGGGTCCAGCTGACACCCCATGGTGAGCCCCGCAAGACCAAATTAGACGCCTGAACACTGGAACTAGAAGATAATCAGTTTGAGCTGTTCTCAGCACTAAAATTTATGGTTCTTTCTGACAGCAGCAGCAGCAGCGTTAGCCTTCTGACGCCACATGTGCCGTGATGCTGCGGACATCTCGCCCGTGCTGGCTTTCAGCTTCTCCCCGAAACGTGTTTTGAAGACTAACGTTGCCTCCAACCACTGTCAGCGTTTTCCTTCCTCTTGCCGCTTGCCTCTCTCCCTCCTGACCCTTTCTCATTTTCATGTTTGTTCTTTCTTAGTTTTTGTCATTGTTTCAGGTGCTTCAGGATTTAAAAAAAAATGGTAATTATTGCTTTCCTCTGCTTTGCAAATGTTCTTGGAACATCCTCAGTTTGTCTCTTAAAACAGATGGCTGCCCTGTTTTCCTAGAACATATTTGAAGGCATGGTCATGCCTCAGTGAGGCGGTTTTTCCTATTCTGTGTTAGAGGATTCCGTGGTGGGAGGTGAGGCGGGCCGGGGCTTTTTCCTGCCTTGATGGCCTTCGGCTCCTTCCTGCCCACTCAGCATCGGGAACAAGCCGTGCACCCCACAGTATATCTCATTCGGTCATCGAGGTAGTGGACTTTCCTTTGCTGTCCTCCCCAGAGCCCTTACCTGGCCACTGTGTGCTGTTCTCACGAGCTTCTGAGTGCAGGCCTGCACCCCTCCCTGGCTACTCCTCAGCACCCCGAGGCTCAGGCAGCCCCCTAACCCTCTCCGCAGGGCCTTTCTGTCTGCCAAGGGCGTGCCAGACAGCCCTCCCCCAGCTTTGACTGTAGTTTTGGCTCCACGGATTAAATCGCACTTCAGGGGACTCCTTCCGGTGGCTGAGTCTATGTTGGCAAATTCTGGGCCCCTGCTTTCCCCTCTGCCTGCTCCTTCAAAGTTGTTCCCATGCGGTCTTGTAGCTGCCAGCGGTTTTAGCCCAAACAGTGGATTCTGGAGTTCACCTGAGTTTGGTAGAGATGGAGGCACTGTGTTTTTGTCTTTTGCTCTAGGGCAGCTCTGTGGGAGTTTGGGGAGATGTAAGGACTAGGTGCCATCCAGCCTCCCAGAATTGATTTTTTATTGTATAAGGATATAGTTTTCTCCTGACAGCATCAGGCCTAGGTCAGGAGGAGAAACCAAGCACGTGCTTCCTGTTCATGACAGTTCTGTGCCATCAGCAAGCCCTCCTGACAGCTTGCCGAGCAGCAGCACACTGCGCCACCCCTTTCTCCCCCCACATCTGCAAAGTGGCCAGAGGACAGTCAGGCACAGTCACTGACTGTGAATCCTACTGCCTGGACCGGAAGGATGTCCCCATGTCTTGCTGGCCGGGGCTCAGTCACATGGCACCAAACTAACGGACAGAGCCGCTTGGCAACGTGGCATGACCCCAGGGATCTCCGCCACCATTCCGTGCAGCTGCACGGGAAACTTGAGAGAGGGCCGTCTGTCACACGTAGGGCTCTGCCTGCCTCTTCATCTCTGTCCATGGATTGAGAAGTAATCTAGTCAAAGACCAGGTCAGCATCATTTTTCTTCACAAGTTTTAATTCCATTAGAATAGTATTTTCAATTGCAAAAAAAAATTTGTAAGTCAAATTGTTTTCAAGTCTGCGAACAACCCTGTTTCCGTGAGTTTCTACCGCGAATGAATTTGGGGGAAACAAGGCACAAGAAGGCAGCACACCAGTAACAGGTATCTAGTGAAAAAGTTCTAGTTAAATATCTTCTGGAGCTCTGAAGAACTAGACTTTACCATTAACATATGAAGTAAAAAAAACGGTGGTCTGGCATTTTATCAACATGAGCGGGCCCGCAAATACCACAAACTTAACAGACAAACCTGGAGACAGCCAGCCTTAAGACAATGATTTTTATTACCTTTATTCTACCATGTTTGATATTGTAAATATACCAATTGAAAAAACACAATATTTAAATAAGAATTAAGTTCAGGAAAATTTACAAAATAGAACCAATGTAATCTGAGAACTTGTAATCGTATCTTAAATATTTCAACTTTACTTTCTGGCCTGGTCAGACCATTCAAAAATATTTCCACACTATTTTAATCTTTGGATACAAAACAGTAACAATTTACTAAGGTTTCCATTATAAAAATTAACATAACAATTCTTAAAATACTGAGTAAACGTTTATGAAAGCAGTATCCACACCGCAGCAACTGATTTTCTTAAGAACAAATACATCTTCAAAAGGCACCCTGGATGCTAGTGTATGGCTAACGACTGCAGCTCGAGTCTTGAATTCCAGTCAACTTTCCACAATCCCCACGCTGAGATCAGGTGGGCGGGGAGCAGAGAACACAGGCTCCGGCCTCCGGGCCCCTGGGGCCCCTCTCACATCCGTGAGGACAAGAGGGGAAATGAAGGAGGGAGACTGTGGCTCTGGCTCCGGCCTCCTTTAACTTTCAGAAAGTAATTGTTTACAAAAAAATACTTCATTTTAAAAATTGTGAGACAAATCTTAATTTAAAAAAGGCCAAGGTCATAGACTGCCGAGTCTGAATGGTGATTTTTTTGTTAGGAACCTGAGGAAGAGGATGAAGCTTCTGTTTCTTTGGAATCATAGCTTCACATTGGGCTCATCTCAGTTTAAATCACTTGGTGGCTTAAAAGTGCGACAAATTCCCTGGAAGTTAGACTTAGTGATACTCAAAATAAACTATAAAGGATTTTATGGTATTACTGTCAAGCTCCCCTTTCATGAGAGCTGATACGCTGAACTGACTTTAACATCAAGTCACTTCGAGCGGCCTACAGTACTTCTGTTATGTTTAAGAGCTCATGTCTCAGGACCCAGGAGCATAACACAATCCAGTCAGCACATGGAGGTATGCTTTATACTTTTCACTGGAATTTATGAATCAAAGTACTCAAGTGAACAACATTAATATTCCAAAGTACTAATAGATTAAATAATTGTTCCCAGGCAAGAAACAAAGGGGAATTTAATGCAATTTTGGGATTTCGAGAGATTGGGGATCAACCTTAATTTCACAGTAGTCCCTTTAAGTCTCCACTGAGTTTCTCCATCTTCTTAAAAAGAGGGGATGTGTTTAGATTTTTTCTCCCTTACTATAACAAAAAATGTTGACCAAAATATTATGAAGTACAAGAGAGAATTTTCTGGTCCCTATTATTGGTCACTTTAGGAGCATTTATTCAAGTTCTAAAATAGCAGCTTTTTAAATTAAGGCAACATCAATGTGCATTGTCTGTTTTTCTGTTAATTACTCTTTAAAGTTCAAAAGAGCAATTTTACCCTTAAAGACCTTTTATGATATAAGAAGAGATAACATCAACATTCATCTCAATACTTAAAAATTACATTAAAAATTATTGTATTCAGAGTCAACAGATATCTATTTTTTCTGGTTGGAATTCTAAAGTAATTATAGTCATTTCAAAATGTGTAAACCATGAAATCAACTTTTAAACTAACATCAACAACATAAAAATACAGTTTTTTTTTTCTACAAAAATACAATATAGGAGATATATCACTTCTTCCCTGAAAGAGATATTTAATATTTGGCCAAAAAAAAAAACTGTAAACTTTTGGTCACATTTAAAATAGAACCTTTTAAAGACTTAAATTATTTAAGAGGCTTGGCAATTAGTGCACTGAACAAGTAATATCACTGTAATGTCTGAACAACGCAGTGATGCCAAGCAGTCACCACTACTACCAGAAAGAAAAAAACGGCTTCCTGCAGTGGAAAGTCTGGGTGAATGAATTGCTGAGGTGGACAACCCGACCCTGGCTTCCGCTCTGACTGCGCTCCACGATCACACAAGGCATCTGAACCAGCTGGAGAGGACTCTTCCCATCCCTTAGTGCCTGAGTAAGGTTTAAGATCTGTGGAAAGAAGAGATATTGCCACCAGTTCAACAAGGAAGAAAAAGCTTTGGTTCAACGGCAGTATTACAACCATTATTCAAAGCTGTTTTTATCTTATCCATTTACGCCCAAGACCTTGTGATGAGTAACTGCTACACGTATGTACTATACAGATGCATATAAGTTCACACACACATGAAGTTAGAATTAACTAACTTACCAGTAGGTAACTTTAAAATATCTGAGACTACACCCATGCCCAGGAGCAACGGAGTCAGACTGAATAAATGGATGGCTCTCCATCACCATTTGACATAACGGCTGGCCTAAATAGTCTGGCTGAATACCTGCCTGTCTACTCACTCACCAATAAATTTATTGCACATGATGTGCTCTAATCTACTTTTCCAGCCATTTCACTCACTGTTGGCAATTTACAGCTCTGGCAAAGCACTGCATCGTGCACAGAGCAGAGATGTGTGAGTGAACATCCACCCCTTTCCCTGACCCCTGGGCCTCTGACCCAGAGCTCCAGCATGGGGCAAGAGGCTTTGCTCATTACTTTACCTCAACGCCTAGAACACTGTCTGGTGATGGCGATTCAATAAGTATCTGGTGAGTGTGTATTTAGTGTGTCAAAGTTATGTAATGATCAGTGCAAACACTAGATTCACCTGTACCACAAGTACATGGTAAGGAGCTGACTTAAAGTAAATGTATATTCTAAGAAGAAAAAGGTGACTAGTCGGCTGCTAAAAGAAAGTTTACAGTGAAATTCATTTTCACTTCAATTCCATTAACAATGTTAGCAGAGGATGAGTCCTGGTGGGCAGCCCTGCCTGCTGGCCACGCCTGCACAGACACCTTGCAGCTCTGATTAAAGGAGGGAGGGAGGGTAAGAGGGCTGAGTCACGCGACCGGCTCTTCTGTGCCCCAGTCAGTGCGCAGCGTGGTGACATGGTTAGTTACTAACAGCTGGAGCAAAGCCAATGGAGACGACAAGGAAAGTAACCAACAGGCAGCAGAACAAGGATTGGAACATCCAAGCAAGTGGATCTGAGGAGGGAAAATGCAGGGACATGGAGGAAAATAGTTAATCAAAATGAGGACAAAACATTCACAACAGAGGGAAACTGGCCAAGCAACCAATATGTAACAAGGTCAAAAATATCCAGCTTATAAGGCAACAGAGGAAAAGCTACTATTAAAATCAATCCCATTTCAAATCATCGGACCTGTTTATGTTCAGTATAAAAGGCTGCATTGAGAGTGACATTGTTGGTTCACAAGGGAGAAAAATGTTGACTACTATTTCAGAGACGTTTTTTTCTTACTGAAGATGAGCACAAAAAGGCAACCTACCTGCCCCCTCATCACAGACATCTGACTTTCGAAAGTGGCTTTGTCAAATCCTTTGTCAGTCTGTCACAGAAAGGAAAATAACAAGTGTTGTAATTGCCCAAACCAAGATCTTTGCAACAGGTATTTGAAAAAAAATGAAGAACTCTTCAAGTCTGTGCATCAGGTTATTAGAAAGCTTTCCCAATTTCATAAAACATGTGGAGAGTGTTTTTACCTGCTTTATTTTCCTAGGTTTCTAGTGATACTATGGCTGTCCCAGAAAGAATTTAAAATTACTTTTCACCCAATAAGTGCAGTTTTTCTGGGAGAGCATTAAATGACCAGACATTTCTATAATTTATAGAGGAATGTTATTAAACATTGAACTTTCGAAGAAAACTAAGTCACAAGGTCTAAAGTGGTCTCACATCACAGCAAGTCTCATCTCTCAAATATAAGCTCCCATTGAGTAAAAGTGAAGATTCCATTCTGTTACCCCAGATCCGGCAGCAAGCCAGAAGGAGAAAATTGCAAACTCGCTCTACTGATAAAAATCTCTGCTATTTTAAGATTTATTTCACTTTCTGCAAGTTAAAACCAAAATTTTATTTACCTTAAAAAGTTCATAAAGATCTTCACATAAATCTTGCACAAAGTTCATGTCAGAGATAAGTGGTAGAATCAAGTTTTTTGTTTCTTCAGAAAAAGGAACTTTTGCTTGAGGAAGCCAAGCCCAGTGAAATGGATCTAACAGAAAAAAAAAAACATTCTTCTTATCAGTCAGGGGAAATGGCTTATTTAGAACCACATTTATCCTAGTTTTTCCCACAATTCCTTGGTTCTCAGAAAAGTAACAGTAATAATAAGTAAAAAAGAACAAGAAAAAGAAGTTATCAGAGAACAATTATCCTTTAAGTATTAAATTACTCAGATTCCAAGTCTCACTGAGTAATTCAGATGGTAAAGCTCAGTAAGGTATTACTTTCTACTTTTAAATAATAAAGAGTAAAAGTTTTGATAATGAATCTATCTCAGAAAGCCCTATATATATACACAAAAATATATAACAATATATATCCAAATCTGTTTTCTCAGTTTGGAAACAAAGGGTTACCTTTAACTTTTTCACAGTCCAGAGTCAAATGCTGTGGCTGAGATCCCTGCCTCCCAGTCATAAACCATCAGGAACTGACTATTTGCGCACACGCATGTGAGAGAGTATGTGTGTCTGTGTGTGCTCATGTGAGCGCGCAAGTCAGAGGGAGAGAGACAGCAAAAGAGAAGGAGACTCCAAACTTTTAAATCATTGGTATGTCAATAGGTGAGTGGCTTTCAGGAATAAAAGATCCACCCCTTTGTGCGATTCTAGTTCTCTTCCAGGTACACCACTAATCTACAGCATGCCTATACTAGAACGATTTGTAAAGCAGTAGAATCCTCTAGAGAGGGTGCATATTCAGATTCTTGCAAAAGAGAAAGGCCCAGTACAGCAAGGTCCCCCAAGCACCACCGTGGGCACACCCAGTGGAACTCCTGCGTTTATCATTCTGATGAAGATAGCATCATTCCTAACATCTCTCTTCTGTCCATTCCCAACCGTGTCAAGTCCACAGTCCATTATTCCAAAGACACCTTTACTGGCCTACCACTTCTCCGAGCTGTGTTCAAGTTCCTTTTCTCCTTTTCCTGGCCGATTACCCAGTGTCTGAGCTGCTGACCGCATGGGCTTCTGCAGGGTCCATCTCAGTCCTCACACCACATGACTGTGGAGTGAGCAGCTCTACTTTCTGGCTTCTCTCTCAGACTCTAGGTCTTCTCCCTCCCTGACTCCACTAGTGGAGCATTGACTAGAGCTGTGAGTAGGAGCTGTCCTGGTGCTGACACTTCCTATTCCCCGTGACTCCTGGGGGCCAGCAAGTGCCCCAGGGCTCCTACTACCAAGGGGCCCTTGAACAACTGTTTCCTCGAGAGCCCCTTTTGGGTTCCAGAAGCTAAGTCCCCAATGGCGTGTTGGTAAGATGTCTGGATGTACTATAGGCACCTGCCCCTCAGTACTGTCAAAGTACCATCTGCAGACTGCAGCCACCAGGGGGGCAGAAGAAACAGAACAAAGTCATCGCAAGTCAGTTCCACCGAGCCAGGAGAGGAGAGAAAGGGAGCCCACGGTAAACAGGAAAAACCTGAGATGACAGGAAAAGCTCAAACACGTCAGTATTTGGGGATACAGAGTTAAGTGTACTTATTAAAAGAATCTTATTTTGGGTTAAAAAAAATCAAGCTAAATGCTGTTTATAAAGCTATACACTTCAAACAGGATGATGGAATTTAAGAAACCAAGGTAGAGGAAACAGCCTAAGTGCCCCTGAGAGCGAAGAGGGCTGGGGCAGAAGAGGAGGTGTCTGTCCACACAGTGAAATACGAGTCGGTCAGCAGAAGGATGAAATGGCACCACTTCTGGCACAATGAAAGAAGTTTGGGGGAATTATGTGTATAAAACAAGTTAGAATGATAAACGCTAGATGTTTACAGAGGAGGCAATTTGAGAAAACAAATACTTCTAAAAACTATACGTCTAAAAACTTATACTACTAAACAGTGAGAGGTTTCTGAGGTTAATAGGGAAGGGGGGAGAGTTGAAGGGCTTTAGAGATTGTGGTGAGAGAAAAAAACAGAAATACACAGACTAATTTCAGGTAAATGCTAATAACAAAACATGAGGTGTAGGGTTCAGGATTGTTACACCAGATTAAATTTTAAAAAATTGAAAGAGATACAGCAGGATATGTTTCAGATAGATAAAAGAACAAGTTGCCAGCAAAATTCAGTGTTCTACTGGATGCTTGCAAAACACGAAGCCAAAAATGTAGAAACACAAGAGAAGCGGCTGACAAAATCACAGTGAACTTTAACTTCCTTTCAAAAATGAACATGTCAATCAAGTGGTCAAAAACTAAGTAAAAAGTATGCTTTGACTAACGGATAAGCTTTCATGAGTACACAGAACTTGGGACTCAAACAGAATCCTCTCCAACACAGGCCTCCAAGTTGTCCCCATGGAGTTTACATGGGAATTACTATCAGAGGTCAGAGCGGAATTCACACTGCTACAACGCACGCAGATCCCATAAACTGGGAAGAGCAGGGGCCGGTTTTCTAAAACAGAGAATTCAACTGACCTAGAAATTTTCAATCAAACAAAATACTTCTAAATTACTCCTGTCAGAAAGCAAGCCTGGCCCTTCTCAGGAAGATGGCGGCGAAAGCCCTGCACTTCCCAAAGCTGAAGCACAGCACAAGCTCTCAAGGCCAAGCAAGCTGTGCTGAAAGGCTGCCGCAGCCACAAGAAAAAGAAGATCCACACATCAGGCCTCGCCTGCGGGCCCCAGACACTGCAGCTCGGGAGGCACCCCAAACATCCCGGGAGAGCACCCCCAGCAGAGGCCAACTCGACCCCTCGGCCATCACCAATGCCGCCCTGACCAGCGCCGCCGTGAAGAGAAACCGCAACAACGCACTTCCGGCGCGGCGGGCACCAGAGGCGCAGCGGGCCTGCGGGCAGGAAGCTCCGCGACGCCGGCTGGCGGGGCGGCGGGCGTGGACAGACGCAACAGGCCTCGGTCTGGCCGGCCCCTGAGCACGATGCTTGCATCTTGCCCACAAACCTGGGCTCATCCAAACTGAATCCAGCTGGCTAATTGTAAATATATATTTTTTCACTATAAACAAAATCATGTAAGTATGAATATGTAAGGCAGAATAAGTAGAATGTGTGGTTTAGCAAAGAAGATACCTAAAGAAAGATTTGTAGGAAAGCAAATTAGGATGAACACAATGGAAGAAACAAGTAACAGTCAAAAGTAAATATTTTAATGAAAAAAAAAAAAGCAAATAAACTGAGAACCTGATGAAAAAAGGTCAATTATGTGAAAAAAAGCCAAAAGCTAGATAGAGAAATACAAAAAGCCAATGCTCTATGACAGACAAAGCTTTGGGAACCTGAATGATGACCAAGATGGCTAATAAGCAGTAGGAATGTGAAGAAAAGCGATACAGTCATTGACATGGGATCATTTTTAAGTTATTACACACATTTCAAACATAGCAAAAATAAAAAATCTAGTCCAATGAACTCACTCTGAATAGACTACACCAACTGTTCCCAAACTTTCACTGAATCGAAGTCATCCCCTTGTTCCTCCTTCCCTTACGTACTTTAAGGCAAATTCCAGGCATCAATATATTTTACCCTTAAATGCTTAATATGCACAAAGGAGTTCTTTTTTATTATAAGAGAATTCTATAAAAAAAAGTTAGACCCATAATATACACCTCAAGATATCATGAACAATCTTAAGCAAAATAAAAATATCTGAAACGGGCTCAAGAATAGATACAAAAATCCAGTCAGTAACTTTTGACCAGGAAGACAGTTAAAAGCACCAGTGGCGAACTACGGAGAGGGCACATGGGTGATTTGGTGATGGGAAACCCAGGGGCACTGCAACTGAGATGGAAAAATGCACAAAAATATGTAAAAATAAATTATTATAAAATTAAAAAATAAAATACTGACCCTGCCCAAAAAAAGTACCAGTGGCTGAAAAAGGGGAAATACTCTAAATTATTTTACAAGTGATACTAACTATAACATTAAAACGTCTACCAAAATATTACAGTAATCCCATTTTGAAAATTGGAGTCTATCAAATTTATTTTACAAGGTTAACACAAACCAGAAAAAAGCAAAAGTGGACACAGTCACCCAAAGCTGAGCGAAGAACACAAGGTAGACGGTGACACCCACCCACCTCTGCACCCGCAACAGAGCAGAGGAGAAGGCTAGGCCTGACTCTGTTGTTCCTCTGCTGTTTGGGCAGCCACACATTGGTTCCCTTCTTACTCTGGAAAAGTGGTGATTTAGAATCTACAGAAGGTTCTAAATACTCACATGCTCGCCACTCATCAGGATGCTTAAAAGGAAATGCCAGACCATTATCAATTGCAGCTACCTGAATAAGTGGCTCTTTATCATCAGTTGTTTTTTCCTAAAGGGAAGAAAAAATGCTCTGTGGTTTTAAAAAAATTAATGAATATTTATTTCTCAAGGAAAAATTCTTACTGCAACTACTGAGGTTTAGAGACATTTTATCTGAAGAAACTATAATAATTAAGAAGTTGCCAGAAAGTACCAATTCACCCTGGAATGGAAGAGACTTAAAAAGTAAAAATCAGTATGAATTTTTTAATCACTTTAAACAAGGATTTTGATAGTATAAATGCATATAGTAATGCTTTCGTCTTCTCCTTTGGGGAAGAGAGCTTAGAATTAAAAAAGTATTATCTGTACAAAGTAAGTTCCTCCCTTAACATTATGGAGAGAGGTTCTTGAAAACTGCAACTTCAATTAAATGAATAACAAGATTAACTCGCATCAGCTAGGCGATATAACAAACAAGGTACACTCCTAAGGCGTATTTCTGATCACAGACAAAAAAAAAAAAAATCACCAAACTTGGACATGAAGACTCAAATACTTATAAAATTAAAGGATATTTTGTATATTTTCACGTATTCATTTTCAACCTGCTTATTACAGCTCAGGGTCTCTTGTGGTCAGAGAGGAAACAAGAATCCCTAGAGAAAACCTACAGAGATTTGGGGAGAACGTGGGAATCCCACACAGGCAGTGGCCCTGGCAATTACAATGAAACACTGTAATTAAATGAGTTATTGGGGAGTGCTGGTTAAATGTGTATTTGTAAAACTGATACTGTTATGATAAAACTTAACAAAGTGATCTTATTAAAACTCTCTGCCAGGGACCCACAGAAATAACTGGTTCAAATATAAAGTCTTTCTAAATAAAACTTTCCAAAGTTCACAGTTAAACACTATATGGTCTACTAGAAGATACTCCTGATACAAAATGTGGGCCATTCCTAACTTCTAGTTTCTAGCAGAAACTTCTAGTCTTGGGGCTCCTGGCTGTTCCTTAAAGATGGGAAGTTAACATTAATAAGTGACCTAGATAAAATAAAAGGCAAAAAAGATACTTTTTAACTTAAAAGTATCAGTGTTCAGGGCCAAGTGATAAAGGTGGGTTTGTTTCTTGTAGGATCAAGGATCTTAATTAAATGGAAATGCATGAAACAATGCCCTCGTCAGTAAAATCTCATTGCTTAGTATAAACAGGAACATATATCAAGGAACCACTACAAATATTTATACTTACATGTGTATCTTAGACTCATTTCAACAATAACTGTCACTTCATTTTATTTCCATCGATTGCAATTTCCCGAAGTGTAACTGGCTCACGGGAAGCCCCTTGCAGTGAAGCGCAATCTGGTAAGCAGCGACAGAGGGGAAACCTTCACCCAAGTTCCCTGGGTCCCCTCTGCAGTCTATCCTTCCTCTACTCCAGCCCAGGCAACCAGAGCGTGCTTCTATCACTGGAGGTCAGCTTGCACTTTCTGTATTTCATTAGATGAAAGCTGACAGCACTCTCTTTGTGGATAGCTTCTTTCACTTGGCAAGATTCATTCATTTGAGATTCATTCACATTATTGATTGCATTATTCTTTTTTTATTGCCAAGTCCTATGAATAGGTAGTTTCAAATTTCTGCGATCAACACTAAAAATACCACTGTTTTTCAAGTGATGTTCCAGATGACAACACAAAGCTTTTAAGTACTGAAGAAAATATTTTTTCAATCAGTTAAAACTCTCTCATCTGGATAGGCTGTTTTAAACTAGTAAAACTACACTTAAATGTCACTTATATAAATACCTAATGTCTGAACTTGGGAAGTTAAAGTTGACAGAAATGGATCTAAAGTCTATCATACTAATAGTGTTAATGTCTACACAGTCTCTTATGTATGTTAAAACCAGTTGTAAAGATCACTGAGTATGATTTGCAGGTAAAAAACATGTTCCATTTTATTATGTAATGTTCTGTTATTTAAAACTGAGTCATACGACTCAGAAAGAAGTGAGCAAATATAACATGTTGACCAAAATACCAGAAGCACTCATTTCAAAAATTATAGTAAATCTGGTAGCTCTGCAACAGATTGCCCAGGCCCTAAAAAAGAATGGAATTGGTATCATATTTTTAGCTTAATACATCAAAAATATAGCAGTAGGGATTTTTAAAAAGTAGAAGTAAAAAATGTAATGTAAAATGTGAAAGAAAATAGAAAAGAAAAACAGCAAAGGGAGGCAAAAACTAAGGAACTAGGGAAGGAAATGAAGAAACAACAACAAATAACTTCAAGGCATTTTTTTCACAGTGTATACATATATGTGTACATATATATTATTTTAAAATTTCCTTACCTTATTTTTCTTTTCATGTTCCCGCTTTTCATATTTGATTAACCAATTATCATTCCCCCTGTCTTTCAAACCGAAACAAAACAAAGCTGTTACTTCACTTTTTCTAGCTACCATAATTTAAGGTCAAGGGGGAAAATCTAGTTACCTCTTGATTTTTGAAACTTCATGGGTTTTAAGTGGCATATGTTTACGTAGCAAAGACAACAGTTTAACACATATAAAACTAATAAATAGTTATAAATGTTGGCTCACCCTTACTGGGCATTTGTGCCACACATTGTTGTAAGTGCGTAACATGTATTAACTCATTAAATCCTAATAACAATTCTGTGAGGGGGATTCGCATTGTCAAGTACTATTAAAGGTTATCATGATCAAGGATAGTGTCCCTTTACCTTAGGGTACCTGGCAAATGTCTGGGTAGGCTCTCACCTCTCCAGAGAAGTACCCAGGATTCCACATTCATTTTAGCATTAACCTAATGCCATGTTAATGAAGAAGGTAAATCTAGAAAAGTATTATCTGTGAATACCAATGAGCAAACATTTTGAGCCAGTGGTCTTCAAGCCTTCCAGTGCATCAAACTAGCTGGAGGACTTGCCCAAACATGGCTAACTGCAGAGTTTCTGTGCCCGCAGGGCTGAGGTGGGCTCCAGGAGAAGCACCAGTACCTTGCCCGTACCTAATGCTGAGGTTCGCAGGTCAGGAACACCCGTGGACATACTATTTTGGATGTTCACTTCCTTGCTCCCTTCTGATACAGAAATGTATAATGTATTCATACTCTGTAACAATTATTTAACATCAAAGTAATAATTCACAGTTTCGGTTCTAACAACTCGGGTTATGCAGACAGCATTTCTAATCATTGGCTTTGTCCTGCAGCTAAGAAGAGTCAGGAGTTGCCAAGAAGAGGCCTCGAGATCTCTGGCTCAAAATGTTAGGTCTCTGGTTTGTATAATAGAAGTTGAAACAGCGTGAACAGTAACAAGACTTGCGTGAACACCTGAGAGCACTGGTACCTGTATTTCTGATGATGTAATCCAAAATAACCAATCTTTCAAACTGTGACTGAAATTGTTTTCTAATATTCTCAGGCAAGGGGTCAGCATCAAACTTCCTAAGCCAATATTCAGCCTCCTTATAGCCTTCAACGAATAACTGAAAGGAGCCAATCTACAATTTTAAGAACCACAGTTAGAAAAAAGGATTCATTTCTTAACTTCTGAGCAAAATCATAAAATGTTACACAAAAATAAAAAAAAAAGCAGTTAAGACTAATTTAGGGGCCCTCCCTGGTGCCAGCTGGCTGCAGCCACCTCAGTGCAAGTTTGATCCCAGCCCCGGAGCTGACCCACGTGGCTCAGCAGACCTCTCCTGTCTCTCCCGCTGCACCCCTCCACAGTGTACTTAGTCCATCTGCCTATTCTGCTCCCTGCTCTGTCTCTGGTGAGTGCTCTCACCACCCCTGCACCTCCGACCTGTACCCCAGTTCTGTATGCATAAACAAATAAATCTTTAAAAAAAACTAATAAGCCACATTTATCAAGAAAATGACATATACACTAATTTACAATAATTTACTAATTACAATAAAGAGTACAGAGCAAATAAAAAATGTTCAATTCTAGGCTTTCAAGGAGCATAGCATCTATTTTAGGGTAATTTGAAAAAGAAATATACAGTGCCCGCAAGGTGATATTCTCAACAAGGATGCTGTTTTCTGGAAAATGATTATTTAAAAGAATTTAATTACGAAGGCCAAATTTTACACTCCTGATTTATTTAATAATAACCATACTGAAGTAATACCCTGAGATTTATTTTCACAACAGAAAATAATTTTGTTTAAAAGAAAAAAAAAAAACAGTTTCTTTGTCCATGTAGATGACAGATGCTGTCATGAATTTTAAGGAAATAATCAGTTATCACTCCCATAGTAAGCCGTTCTATCACTCAAATGACTATTAACATTAAGCAACTTATTAAAGACAGAGAGACAAAACTGAGCAGTCATGACAGTGCCGGGGACCTACTCGCCCGGATGTATAATCACCACAAAGGAGTCTTTGTTATCCCGACACCTTGCGTGTTGCTGCTGTTGGTCCGAAATTTTAACAACCTCTTGTTTTCTCTTAGAGCACTTATAATTAAGAATGAATAATCAGAATTATGTAGATAATGTCCTTCTTTCCTTCTTACAGTCACACCCCTGTTAGCATAGGCAAGCACAATAGGCCTTAAATTGTTCAGCAACAAAACCACAGGGGTCCAAAAAAAAACTTGAGTTTTTTCTAGAATGCCCTCCCATTAAGCCTTCCCAGCTTTGTTTAGCTCTAAGCATGACTTAAGTTTATTTGAAAGTGACAAGAGAAAACAAAATCTAAAGTAGTGAGTGAACAGCAAACTTTACTGCAGGCCAGTTCCTGTTTCGGGTACTTAAGGCCAGCTGCTTTATGTTAGCCTCACGACAGCCCTATTTTATAGAAAACGGGAACAGGCCCAAAGTCTCAGAGGTGAAGGGGAGAGGCTGGAGCAAACCATGGGCCTGACTCTAGTCCTGTGCCTGCAGCCTTCACACTTTCCTCCTGGGCAAACCCCCGAGCCCTCCGCGCCTCTTCTCTCCTCCCTGAGTGTAATCCCCCAACACTTCATCACGCTGCATAGGGGCTACCTGTGTCCTCTGAGCTCCTTGAAGAGCATCAATTGCCTTCACTATTACGTCCGGGGCCCACAGCCAATGCGGAGCCACACTTGATGTGGCTCAAATGAGGCCAATCAGAGCAGCTTACCTTTGGAGGGAGTCCTATCCGGTGAAATTTTCTACCTACTTTTGGCACTTTCTGTAAAGCATATTTTTTGCCTCTTGATTTTGCTCGGTCAATTGCACTGTAGTTAAATGTCTCACTGACCAGCCAAACCACCTAGGAACAGTTGAGAAAAATGGTTATTACCAAGGGGGTTATGCTCTTTCTCTTGACATACACCACAAAACTGTAACGCTATAAATTAGCCAAATTAGCCACGTTGACTCTAGCCCATGTCACATGCCCCAGGGAATGGAAAGCGGAAAGGCTGAGGGATGCTGCCTGGCCAGAGAAATGCCATCTGTTTCTTTCTGAGAGGCAGTCTAAAGTTTATCAGAGAAAGAAATGATAGTCCTAAAATGCAGAAATGAGGAAGAACACCTTGAGGACATCTTCAAGCAAAAACTCAGAAAAGCCAAAAAGAAAACAATCGCAGCTGCCGAGCACGGAGTGAGGCCCCTCAGCATCTGCAGAGCCCCGGTCCTACTTTCTAAGAGTTTCTGCTCCCTTGGCCACTTTGTGGCTCTCCGCTGGACGGCTCACGACTGGTTACCAGAAAAAGGTGCTCAAGCCTCAGCAGTCATCAGAAACGTTACTCAAGTGCTAGAGAGGAGGAGTGCAGAGAGAAGCGCGGGACTGAAAAGCCTCCTTTACCCTTGTTTTTGGCACAATGCCCAGCTGAAGCTTCTCATCCACGAGGAAGGCACCGGCTTCGGAAAGGTACCCCTGGTTGGGAAGCAGGCAGCCCCTGCCAAAGCAGCACGGGCAGCAGACCTTGTGCACATACTTGGTCCACTTAGGGTTCAGTTGGCCGTAAGGCTCTTCCGATTTTGGCTTAAACACACCGATACTTTTCTACATAAAAAATAGAAATGTGATTAGACTTTTCATAACCCATAACACTCATCCTAATAAATCTGTCTCTACTTCCTCCCACCGGAGACTTGGACAAAACCCTCAAGTATTAAGAGGTTATGCTGCAATCACATTTTTACACTCATCTGCACTCAAATATCTAAAAACAGTAATTCTTTGGGCTCGTAGTTTTTGTACAGCCACTGGCCGGGCCAGGGGGAATAGCACAGGCTTCAAGACTCCTGCGGGGTCGAGATTCACGCTGAGCCACCGTCTTGCATTATGGGCTGTCCACTCATTTTGAAGTCTTTGAAAACCACTGTTTGGGCCAGTGTTATTATTTATGACCCATGAAACATAAAACTTACTGGTTTGTGTACATCGACCTCCCCCCTAGCGGGACCTTCTGAAAGCACCAGGACTTGGGTAGAGCTGCGACTCAGGCACCAGCGACTCAGGCACCAGCGCAGAACTGCAGCCTGCCCACAGCAGCGTTTGCAGGAGGCCTGATCAGCCAGGAGCAAAGTCTCTACACTCAAGGACACAGTGAGGTCTGTCTGGCTCCCCCTACCCTCACCTTTCTCCAGTGATTATTGTGCAAATTGACTTTAAATAAATGCTCTCCTCTCAAAGGCAAAATTGCTCATGGATGTCTAAAAGTCTATAATCTTTCATTACTAGCTTGATAAAATATACTCATTAAATTTAGAGGCTGAATTATCCCTAGATAAGAAATAAAAGTCTTATTATAATTTTTAAGTATATAATTACCTGACAGTGCAACAGTCTCAGTCACTAGTAAAAAGTTAACAAGAGCAAATTAAGACATCAAGTTCATAATAGATTGAGTTTGAGGTTACCTACATATATATTTAAACCTCAAAAAAGTATTTTAAAGGAGAACTTCAATTTTACAAAAAAAAGTGTTTTTGGATAAAATTATAATCTTTCTTCCTCTTCCTCTTAAAAAAGCACTGCTGGCTATATACAGCATTCAGAAAGCTTTCAGAAACATGAAGAAGAATTTCTGAGAAATTCTAGACTAGTCGGAATGAAGCCTCACGTGGACTTCTCTTTTCTGTCCCACAGTTACACTTTGGTTCACTCTGCTACATTTCAGTGCCTTCAAACACCAGACAGCCCAGGCTCCTTCTCCGGGAGAATGCTGGGAAAAATGACATTAAAGGGTTTTGAAAGTTTAAAAATCTATTCTGCTTGACTCATATGGGTATAGACATCTGTAAGGAAAGGACTTATGAATATAAAGTCAGCAACTTTAAATAAATGACTAAATATAAGTATTCACTAAAAGCTGGTGACCAAAATTAAAATAGAGAATTCTGATTTAAAGTGAATAGCTCCATTTCTAAATAGTAGAGTGCTTTAGTTAAAAAACAAACAAACAAAGAACACCCTAGCTTTTATTTCTAAAAAGAGGCCACAGTCAGATTAGGAAAATATTTTCAGAAACTCAATGATTTCACATTTAAATTAGTGTTTTTCAAATTTTCTGTTTTATATATAGATCTGTGAAATTCTCACCCTCTTGGGATCCTTCACAAAGTAACTTCCACTTGAACCTTGAGAGATTCTTTCTGGCAAAACTCCAAATTCTATTGCTTGCTCTGCTTTCAATATAAGCTCAGCAAATTCTGGATCATCTGAGAATGTATTCAACTCTGCAGAGCCAACTATTACAATTAGAAAAATCAATGTTAATATAGAACATGAAGAAATAAGGCCAGCTATAAGAATGCTTATGGTATGGACATGTGATTTTGGATGTGTAAGCAGCAGCATGGCATAAAGCACAGGAAAACGTAATCAAATATAGTATGGGCTCTCTGACCCCCCCACCCCACCCCTCACTTTAGCGTCAAGTAATGACACAAGGGAACAAGAGCCCCCTGTTGGTGAAAACAATAATGCTAAAGTCTATCGCTAGTGATTTTGTCCTCCATTCTACCTCAGTCTCCAACTGCAGTCATACCTCAGATCTGTCACTACCAATGCCTGTGCAACCTCTCCACCTTTTCAACCGCAGGCACTGCCAATCTCCAAAGCTCACTCTGGTTTCCTGAGCTGAGAGTCCTCCATCCCTCTAGGACCTCCAAAGCACAATCGATGATCGGCTACTGGCACTTGTCTTCACCCCTTCCTGTCCTGATCTCCCTCCTCGTTCAGGCTGAGAAACAGTCAATCATCGTATCATCACTGTCTTCTTCCCTCCTCTCATCACAATCACCTGGCAAAACCCCAATTCTGGTAAAACCCAACTGTCTGCTCTGAAGCACGTGCAGTCTCTCTGCTATGCACTGCATGTTTGTGTCGCCCAAAAGCTGAAGCGCCCATCTCCAGGGTGCCAATACGAGGAGGTGGGAGTCTGTGGGAGATAGTGAGGCTCAGTGAGGCCGTCCATGTGGGGTTAGTCTTAGCGCGCGGGCACACCTGCGAGCCCAGAAGAGCCCTCACCCAGACCCTGGCGGAGCTGGCCCTCTAATCCTGGCCTTCCGCCTCCAGAACTGTAGGCAGTCAGCCTGCAGTGTAAGCTACCCAGCCTGTGACCAGCAGCCTACGCAAAGACAACTCCCCACCTTGCCTCTCTTTCCTCAAATCTACAACCATTCTCTCTCTCAGCAATGACATCTCTCCTCAAATCTACAACCATTCTCTCTCTCAGCAATGACCTGGCTTCCAATTTCACATCAATCAGAGAAAACTGCCCTCAGTCCTCAGCACCATGCCTGAGCACATCCCCTGCCCTGACCTGTTACAACAGACCAAGTGGCCAAGTCTAATCCTTCCGGGATCCTCCAGGATCTGCGCCCGCCGTTCCCTGTGTCAACATTTCCCTCTCTACAGATCATTTTGATCGCCCTACAAAGCATGCTACAATTCTGTTCATGCTGTAATTCTGTTCATCCTGAAACAAATCTCTCTTAACCCCCAATAGCCCCAAGACTCAGCCATTTTATAGCAAAAATCTTTTAATTACAGTTATTTCAATTTACATGTCCAGTTTTTCTTCTCCAATTTCCTCCAGAACTCATTTCCACCTGGCTTTTGTCCCAAACACTCCATTGCAATAATTTTTGTCAGGGAACGCAGTGACCCCCACATTGCTCACTTCACCCTCAGAACTTATCTTTTGTGACCAACGGAAGACAAGTGACTCTGTGGGTGGCTCCCTCCTCCTTGAAACACTTTTTTCACTTGGCTCCCAGGAAGCCCCTGCTCCTCCAGATTCTTCTCCTATCTCACTGCTCTGTTTTTAATCTCTCTGCTGGTCATTTTCACCTATGATCCCCAGGTCTTGTTCAAGGTCCTCTCCTCTTTATCAGCACTGATGACAAAGCCTAATCTGCCCTGAAGCTCTTGCTATTGTATTCAACATCTCTATGTAGATGTTATTTAATAGACAATTCAAACTTGACTTTCCCCTAGTCAATTCCTTGCCTCTGTTACCACTCTCAAGTTTCAGTCCCGGTGTCCCCAAATTCAGTTGCTAGAAACTCCAAATATTCCAGTTGTTCACACCCAAAATCTTGAAGTCATCCATGATCCCACACTCTCACTGCCCATCAAATCAGCAAGTTTCACGGCTGCACGTTAATAGCCAGAATCCAACCACTCCCACCATCTCCGCTCCTTCTGTAAGGTGCAAATCACTGTCAGCTATTGCCTAAGTTATTATGAGTCTCCTAGTGGATCTCACTCTTTCTCCCTCTGTACCCTGAGAAGCTACAGTAATGCTTTAAAAATAATCCAGATCATGTAGCCCAGAGAGTTCCTCCAGCTCACTGAAAAAAAAAAAAACAAAAAAAACAAAAAACACCCACAAAACACAAATCACCACTACCAGATTCCTATACGTCTGTAAGTTTCACCCAACCCCTCCCCACTACCCCCACCAAGCTTCACTTAATTTTTCTGTTTAGCGCTTATCGCCTAATATACTATGTCATTTATTTGTGAGTTCCAAGAAGACAGGATTTCTTCCAGTGCTCTATTCTCAGAAATTCACAGTTACTGTCATATAACCAATACTCAATACTTGCAGAAAAAAGTTAACTAGTAATCATGTAAAGTGCTAGACAAACCAAAAATTATTTCCATTTTTTTACTGGAAGACATTTTAAGGCTATTATGTGCATTCAAACTCAGTAAGTTCAAAACTCAGACTTTCCTTAATTTAAAATTTGCCTAATTCAGACTGAAAACTGTTGTTACTAATTTTTACATGTCTGTGCTGAAAAAGACATGACAAAAAAGGGAGACGAGGCATATTTAACCTATTTGAAAGAATAAACAATTCAAATATTTTAGTTATGTCTACAAGTGATACACTGATTTCAATTCATTCTTATTTATCCCCTGATAAAGTACTTAAGACCAAAGGGAGGACCTTTGTCTTTCTCCCTGAGTACATCCCTA